CATTGACAACAACTTGAATTTTAATCCTACATAATGATACAAGTCTTAAAAATAAGACATTTAATCTTATTATGGTTTGTCTTCAATAGGGTACCCAAATGAAAAGATATTTTCTATAAAGGGCTTTCTTTTCTCTTTGGATCCCTGATATTTTATTAAAATATCTCATTTTTATAGACTTTCATAGCTATTTACTTTAAATATATTACATCAAAAAAAGAAAAATCTAGACTCTCTTGTAGGGTTATCCTAAATAATTAAAATAAAATATCATAAGTAGTTATATATGAAAATAAAAGTACTCATGTTAACCACACTTGGTCATGCTCTTATTTATTTGGAGACTAAGCAGTTGAACCACTTGTATAATTATATATGTGATTTATTTATTTTAGCCCCATTTTTAGTACTATATGAGCATGACTACCTGCATAAATATCATTATTATTAAAATCACTCATAACCTACTGGTAATTTATTGTCCATCACATCACAAAAAATATAGTAATAAAAATCATCATCACAATAATTATCATAGAAAATTAAAACAACCAGTATATGTGTCATATGCAAATTTCACTTAATAGAAATAGAAAGAAAACACCAACTTAACCTAAAACTAGAAGTTGTGTCCTAACAAATAATTTTATGTATGGGTAGTAGGCTGTGTGGTCTAGATATGTATTATGTTGGGTAATTAGTTCAAGTTATTTGTGATTTAATTTGTTGAAGGCCAAAGGAGAAATTTTTATCAAAGTTTAAATATAAGTATCTTGAGATCAATTTTAATTAATTTAGTTGGTTGGCTAATTTTAATAATTAGGATGATATTCTTTGTAATTTAAGTTAAATTGACTGATTTTAGAAGGTTTGGTGTTATCCTATCCGCTATGTCAAACGGGTCGAAAGTTGACTTTTAGAAAAAAACTAAGTTCTAGATTACTAGTATTTTTATTAAATATTAGACCCTATGGGACTAATTAGACTTTGAGTTTGCTGGATTTGAAATTTTCTATGCAAATTTATGATTTTTAGAAGTTTTAGACCTTAGTTATCGAACAATGGTTGACCGAGGAGTTGACTTTTTTATTTAAGCTAATTTCTAGAATGCTCATATTTTTAATAAATAATAGATTTTAATTGGAGTTGAATGCCTATTAGTTTACTCAATTTGTATTTTTTTGAAATTAGTTATGATTTTTGAAAGTTTGGATATTTATTTATTGATTAAAGGTATTTTAGAGATTTTCATTTAAATGAAATCCAAACCTCTTGGAATCACCTATAAAGGTCTGAAATCACCTAAGTGTTTTCAAGTGTTAGAATTTTTAGTTATTTTAATTTGTTAAAAATTATTTTTAATTAAAATTAAATTAGTGTTCAAAATAAGGTCCAATTAAGGGGATTTTTAATTTCTTTAGATTGAGAATTTAATTATAAAGATGTTAATATATTATCGGTAATTTTTTGGATTTAATTTGAATTTATTAAATTTTTTTTATATTTTTGGGGTTTAATTAAAGGGGTAAATTAGGGTTAATTAATTAAGTGACTTAAAGGGTCCTAAAAATTTTTAGAAAATTATAAGGGTCTGAGATATCACTAAGTTTAAATTTTTTAAGTTTCATGTCATTTGGAGGTATATCCTAATCTCTAAAATTAATATAAATTTTCTAGACGAATCCTTAATTTTTGTCCTTAAGGCGTCTCTAAGTTGAATAGGTTCGTATCAAGTGTCATGAGTAACCCTTGGGTAACATAAGGAAAATGCAACACATAATTACAAGCAATGTCCTAAGAACTAGGAGAGCCAAGGTTAAGTGCTTGTGCATCCTAAACATGCAAAGATTAAGCGATAATTAATATGACTAATGATGAGATTAGTGAATAATTGGAGTCCAACTATTCAATAATCATTCCCCACGAGTTCTATTCACATGTTCAATCTATGATTGAAATTGTAAAAAGATCTCTCAATTTTTAAAGATTTAAATATACTTATAATTTTAAAATAAATGTGTATTAATATATATATGTGTGTGTGTGTGTGTGTGTGTGTGTGTGTGTGTTTTAAAATAAAATTCTTAAAATAACATTAAAATCATTTAGGATAATTTTTAGAGATCCTCTGGTCATTTAAAAATAATCTAAAAGTATTCATAATAAATTTTTTATTATGAAACTCTTTACTTAAATATTAATTAAATATCAAATTTAAATTAAAATTTAATTAATTATTAATTAAATATTTAATTATAAGGGTTTTTAAAAATAATTCAAAGTATATAATATATTTTAAAGTAATTTTTAATTTTAAATTAAATATTATTAGATTTTAAAATTTTTGATGTATTATATGTATTTTTTTATTTACAAATAATTTTGTAATAATTATTTAAAGTTTTCTAATTAAAAATACATTTAAAATTAATTAAAACTAATTGAAACAAATAATTCGGCAATGGTCAGACACACTGCAGGTTCTAATTGGTTTGTTCAAATTGCGGAGGCTATCATTGCCGGTGGCACATTAATTGGAAATGATTGCTCCGCTAACAATCATTGTCTTATCAACGGATCGTAGACGTCGTTCACTTAACCATGTTAGCAAATACGTAGAGATGTCTGATCTCACATGGTTTGAGACAAACAGCTTTGATTGCATCAGATGCAAGATCTAGCCACCAGACCAACTCCACGATTCGGAAAGATCGTGGAATGATTGGATCTCTATCGTTGATTAACTAATTAATGTTGGAGATCTTGTACACCTAATTCACCCTATTGAGATGCCCTAGAAAACATTTTTATCTCATTTGATTAATCAGATCAATCAAAACCAATGAAATTTTAAACATAAGATCCATGCTTGAAGAGCATTCATATGGAGTAATTTTTGCGGTTTAAAATACGCTTAATACAAAGCTAATTAATCATAGGTGTCCTAAGCTAGGGTTTGAGATTATTCCTAATCCAAACATTAGATTTAGGATATCTTGGGATTATTGCACTTATAGACTATCCACACTCCTTTTTATAGAAGAATTCGTGGTCTGAAACGCACTAGATCGATGACAAATCAGCCTTACAGGAATTAAGCCTCAGTTCATCGGAGATCTCGTCGCCGGTGAGCTTTGACCAGTAGGTTTGAGTGGAGAAAGGTTCAGGGAGGTTTGGAGAGCTCACACAAGAGAAGTCTCGGGCTTGGGGAGTCTTAGGAAGGAATAATATGCAAGGTCCTCTCTAATGAGTCATAAGCCTCTATTTATAGTCCCAGCCCTACGATAGATGGTTAGGATGGCTTCTAGGGTTAATTAGGAGGGAATTAAGCTTCCTTGGCCATGTTTGTGGTCAAGGAGGCTTGGATGAGTTTAAATGCTAAAGGGGTCAACTATTTGACCTAAATAGGTCAAGTTTGACCACATAAGGGTTGGGTTTACCTAGTCAAGTATTGACTAGGTCAACATGGTCAATCAAACCCAAATAGATTAGAGATTGAGCTCAAGGGGATTTGAAATTGGTTGAAACCTAAATAAGGGGGATTTGGGCTAGTTTGGTCAACCAGGTTGACCTAGGACCTGAGTTTGAGCTCAACATATTTAATTTGACTCATTGAACCTAATTGAAGTGGTCTTAAGGTCTGACTTGATCAATTTGTCCAAGTCAACCCCCCTTGACCCTTAGTTTAATGAAAAACATGGTAAACACATACCACTACATCCCTCAAATGTCATGTCTTTCTTTCCTAAATCTATAAACATGCGACCAACATATATATCTTTTTGAGCTCTTATTGCCCATCACAATATTAGGTACTTCACAGGAACATTCACAATATCTAGCTACCTTATAACTCTAATGTAGTAAGAATATAATAAACACATTATCTCAAACTTTTCATAGGTGCATTGAATGCCATCCTCTTATGTATCAAAATGAACAACCCAAAGGACAAACAAGTTCTTATTCTTCATGCTTTTGACAAAAAACTTCGATAAATCACTTGACGCATAATCTATACACATTCCAACCAAACTCAAACAAAAAAAGACTATATTTACAAGAAACACAGAAAAACTTGGGAGAGTTTTAAATTTATCGATAATAATCCCAATTTATCTCTCAAGTTGGTTGCTTTAAGTCTTCTTGAACGTTTTGCATACCACCTTTCATCTCCCTAAAGAATGCAACACCCTCCAAACCAATTTACGTATTCACCGCCTACTTCTTGCTTTTCTTTCTCTTCAAGTATAAAAAATGATATTTTGCATGCCAAAACCCTAAATATTTGGGCACTTTCATGGGTTTCAATCTTAACAATAGAAAAGGCGTGTTTTGACCATGTTGGGTCGTCATGCCACATTTGTTTACATGTCAGCATTTAATCTAAATATTAGAAATCCACGTGTCATCATGTATTTGGAATCTGAACGTAGAGCTATGTCCAAAATATGCACGTAATAATTTCTCAAATTGAAGACAATTGCAAATCAATATTGGAGTTTTTACATATTCATCATAATAAATTATCACCATCAAGATCACTACAAATTTACAAAATTAAATACACCATACCCATGCCCACCCTCAATTTGTTTTTTTAAATATTTAGAGGGGATATTTTTAAATTAATACAAGCTCGATAAACACTAAACGAACGAACATGAACTGAACATGAACACTCAATAATTTAAATAAACCAAACATGAACACAAACAATATAGCTCGAACAAATATGAATCAAACTTGAACAAATTGATATTAAATGAACACAAACATGAACACTCACATACTTGACTCGGCTCGGCTCGGTTCGTTTGCAGCCCTAAATCCTAATGCCATAGCATTTATGTTATTTATTCACTCGAATTATGTTCAACCCATCTCTTCCCAGATTCGCTGTATGAATCATTATTTGTTATAATGTCCTGCGGAGTATTGGAATCGAATCAGCCCACCGGCTTCGGGTAACCCGACCCAGCTCGATGACCCGCCCCTTTTAATCCGACCGCGGGCGACGGGGAGGAAGAAGCACGGAACAGGGAGAGATCCGGAATCATGGAAAATGAGCGAGCGACTTAGATATACTAGGGGAAAGAGCTGGAGATCTTATAAGGAGAGCTGCATAGAGTGGATTCCTGGTTCGCCGAGTGGCGCGATATATAAAAAGGTTTGTGCCCTAGTTCCTCTTTCATTTCTCCTTCTGTCCTTTTTTCCCCTCTTCGTTGATTATTTAAAAGAAATTTTGAGTAGACATTGTACATGATTAGCTTATGCAAGGCCTTATAAGCACCATAAAACTATACGAAGGAATGCGACTCTTATTAGGTAGGTTAACTTTTGAATGAAATGCGTCAAACCCTAGCGTAAAGATTTGCTGATGCACTCACAATAGAATTTCGGAATAGGAATTTTTTTAACAGGAGCTGATGGATGGATTGTTGACGTACAGTTGACTGTTTTATTTACTATTGAAATTATGTTCTTGGAAGCAGAAGATGTTGAAATTTAAAATTTTTGTTTGTTGATGAACACTTCTAGAGTATCTTAATTGTAGCAAATTTGTTAAAGAACACATACACTTAATATCGGGTAAGTAAGCATGTTATATCTAAGGTTTTTAATTTTTATATGTACATCTGTAGTGAGAGTTACATTGTCATTTTTACAAGCTTTGTTGTTGCTTTTAATGATGAAATTGAGGTCGATGAGGAAATTTTAATTGAATATTGAGGTCGTTAGTCCAAACTTAATTGTATATGTATTGATTTTGGTTGGAATTGCATTTATAATTCTCATAGCACACTTATTGGGACCTTGTTAGTAGTGTAGTCTTCTACACTAATGTTGAGCTTCTTGTTATTAATGTTTTCTGTAATATACCAAGCATTTATTAATGAGTTTGTTGAGAACATTCATACAAGCTGGTGTGTGGTGTATTCTTTATGAGTATGCTATATATTTATTAGTGATGCTAATGTAATGCATGAAACAACAGTTCTTGTGATTGCATAAATGGTATGTATGTTTGTTATGTTTATTGCTATTATTACCCATCAGGGCACCCAATATTTTAGTTTTTGATTAAGTTGATCCATTACATTGATTTCATGGCTGCATTTACATAAATTGTGTGGATGTCATTTGGATTTGATTGATCGTGTACGTACTTTGGCACATTAGGGTTGATATTTGATTGCATGTAAAATTGTAGAAGTCATCTCGTTAAATTGTCATGTTACCAAAATTTTTGGGGTTGATTGTTCTAGGTATGATATCATAATGCATGTTTATCATTTCTAAGTTTGCCTTCTAATCTTTTGGTTGCAGAGTAAAAATTTTGAAAGAAACCTCCATAAGATTGTAGCTTTGTCCTCAGATTAGATGGAGAGTACTCATGCTAGGAAGAGGCTTCGGCTTGCATGGGATGTGGCTCCAAGTAGTCGAGAGGTGTTTCTTGTGCTCTGTGATGTTAGGGTTAGGTTTACATCTTCAGTTTTAGATGATTGTGGTGTGGGTTCTTTGGGATTGGATTTAATTTATTGGGTTTTGAAATTGTGTGGAAATGTTTGTCCTTGGATTTATCTAGGCAGATAGGTTTGAGGCAGCGGTTCCAACAGCTCGTGGGGCATCACCACCATGGAGAGAAGATGATCGAGAGGGGCATTACGTATTTGATCTCGGAGAGAATCTTACCCCTCGATGTAAGAACTTTGATATGATATTTTTTTGAACTTATTTTATATTATTAAAAGAAAACAACCAACTCTTTGAAAGAGAGTTCAAACGCATAGACATCTATGTTTTCCCTGATTATTTTTTCATCTCACTAGATTAGAGATTCATTATAATCAAATTACTGGTTCTGTTCTCTTTTTTCTGCTGTCCTTATCATATATGTGGAAGAAAATGGCTTCTTGCACTGAAAATTCCACAAAATTGCTTATGTACTCACTTCAGAACAACATTTATGCTTCTTGAATGCTTATTATGTTTATGATTGTTTGCATTTTTCAATCGCAGATAAAATTCTTAGCAAGATTGGTGAAGGTATGCTACAAATACTAGGAGTTTCCTTGTTGGATCTTTTGTTGCTCTTCCACTCGTCGCTGGTCAGTATGTACCAGTATTGCAGGTACATTTGGTCGTGTTTTGGAGTGTTGGGATAGGGAAGTACGTGAGTATGTAGCTATCAAGGTAGTTCGGAGCCTACGGAAATATCGCCATGCTGCTATGATCGAAATTGATGTTCTTAATAATCTATCTAAGAACGATAGCGAAGGATCACGGTATGCCCTTTTTTTCATGAATACAAACATTGTTCCTTACACTAAATTTTTTCCGTTGTTTTATTTTAATGTAGTTGTGTTCAGATTCGAAGATGGTTTGACTATCGCAACCACATATGCATTGTAAGTAGACCAAGATTTTATGTCGTCCTTAGTATTACAATTTCAGATAATTAATTGACTGAATGTTTTTTCTATCTTGCCTTATACTTTATTGTTTACTATTTCTGAGATAAGTTTATTGTGTATGTATGTATTGTAGGTGGACTAGCATTTAAAATTCATTCCTTATGAAATATCATCATAAAAAAAAAAGTTCTGTAAATTCTTAATGAATTATTACTTTTTATGCTTTGTTTATGAATAACTAAACATGGTCAGTTTTCTTTGAATGGATATCAATGCTATTATCAGGTGTGTGAGAAGCTTGGGCCAAGTTTATATGATTTCCTAAGGAAAAATAAATACTCCCCGTTTCCTGTGGAACTTGTTCGAGAGTTTGGACGCCAGCTTTTGGAAGCTGTAGCATGTGTGTTTACTATTCTCTGTTAGTTTATTTCCAATAGTTTTGTGATACTAGCTGGTGTAATGGATCTTCTATTGCTATTACTTTAGCTGTCAAGGGTGAGACTTAACATTTTGTTTTTCCTTTGTAACATAGATATGCATGATTTACGCCTTATTCACACTGATCTGAAGCCAGAAAACATTCTTCTTGTGTCTTCTGAATATATAAAGGTTCCAACCTGCAAGGTACTTGGTTCATACGATATTAGAAACATATATTTTCTTACTAGCAGCTATATGGACTAAAGCAGTTATCTTGAATGATTGCTTGGGATGGTACAGAGGTTTTCACAAGATGAGATCCAATTCAGGTGCTTGCCAAAGTCAAGTGCCATAAAGCTGATTGATTTTGGTAGTACTGCATTTGAGAATCATGATCATAACTCAATTGTTTCAACGAGGCATTACAGGGCACCAGAGATTATTTTAGGTAAATTAGTTTTATAGAAGAAACTGCTTCATTGCTCCGCTCCCTTATGCCTGAGATGCAGGTTATTTAGCATGAGCGAAGGTCCAATGACTTTTAGACTTGCTTAAGTTCTTTGCCTGTTGTCTTCGTAGAACCTTATTAGGGTGAAGATTGTATAGATTTCAGCATTTGTTGTGTGTCACAGTACCGTTCAAAAAGACAACGAGAGGTTCTTTACCTTAAATGTACTATGAAGATTTGAGAGAAGGGCGTTTGATTTCTAATTGCAATTGTTGTATAATGAGCAAGATCCTCTTTTTGTTCTTCTTGTTTCTTTGCTCCGCATACTAATAGTTATTTCTATTTTTGTTGTGTTAAATATCTTACGCTTTGGTTCCCTGTGGCACTTAGCTGTTTTCCTTTTGGATCGTCCTTTAAACGCTTTAGAAGCTTTAGTTTCTTGCTGACAATTTCCTCCGCTAAAGTCTCTTCTCCTTCTACATCATAAATATGGATACTGTGGGTGTCATTTGAGGGCATGGGAGAGGTTAGGGGTGGCGGCACTTAGGATATGAGCTTGGGGATATTTCAGTTATGGTGAAGTATACATATGTGGGATGTGTTTTATCAATTTTTTTTTGTTTCTTAACTAATTTAGCTACAATGATAGGGCCGTTTAAATTTTTTTTCCTTTGTTGGTTGAGAATATTTTCTGGTACCTCGTTTGGATTGGAGCCTGATTGTTATTCTTATTTATTAAAAATGCATTTGTCATGGGTTCTTAGTATGTGATTGAAACATGTCCGGATCAGGTTTGGGGTGGCATTATCCTTGTGATCTTTGGAGTGTTGGTTGCATACTTGTAGAGCTTTGTACGGTTAGTTGTGCTTCCTTGTTTTCTCGTTTTAGAAGAAATCCTTTTTCTATCTGGTATTACTTCATGTTTCTTTTCCTGCAGGGTGAAGCATTGTTTCAAACACATGAGAATTTAGAGCACCTTGCTATGATGGAAAGAGTCTTGGGACCAATGCCAGAGCATATGGTTAGAGGAGCCAAGTAAGTATTTCAAGTTTGTGAGCAAAAAAATTAGTGCATGTAAGCTGTTTACTTCAATGAAACTAGCGATACCGTTCTTGACATTGACATTTGCATAGAATTTGATGCACTAAACAGTTGTAACATTTATCACTTACTCGCTTACGGTTATTGGTTTTCAGTTCCAAACAATTCATGTTGTAAAGTTGCCTAGATCAGGCTCTCTTGGCTTTTTGAAAATTTTTTGTATTTCTCAACTGCTGGCTTAGTATTTATATCTTCACTATTTTTAAAATATGCTAATGACAAATCTATACGGGACTCTAGCAATGATAAGATTTGATGGTTTTGCACATTATTGCTGATGTGTGCAGCACACTTTCAGGTAATGATTGATACACAACAGCAATCATATGGCTGCCCGAGAAGAGTGTAGTTGATGTAGCTGGTCCAGGGTTAAAAATTTCTTGTGCAATTTAAACGATACAACGATTGCAAATCATATAAAAAAAATTTAGGATTCTTAGATTAAATCATCAAAAACTATCACATATGCAAAAATTCATTTTCTTTATATACAAATCAGCAAATACAAAAATTATAACCCAAATAATAATATAATGATTGAATAAATCTTAATAAATTAATGATAAAATTGGACCACCTAAAACCAACTAGCAATTGGAAAAAAAAAAATTGCAACTAACATTTTAGTCGTCTCAAATTTAATTAAATCAATAACTCTAACAAAGCTTAATAACGTGATATATAGAAGAAATTAGAAGGAAAAAAGTTACTATAAGTGATGAAATTGTACCGCATTTGAAAGAATATCATATCCACTATGCACAAGATTATAACTAAAATAAAAATTTTCATTGAATCATAAACTATTTATTCCTTGCCTTAGGTTAATTGTTTTTAAACATCTAGTTCTCAATCGGATATATACCATTGGCTCAATTTACAACATCGAATCCTATCCTTGAGGCAATAGCAAAAATCCCAAAGGAAATGCATGCCAATGCTGCAAGAGCAAATAAATTGCATGCAAAAACTGCAAGAATCGAACGCAAAATCACAAGAACCACACACAAAGGCCTCAAGAATCATTTGCAGAGGATAAGTGCTAACCATTGAATAGAAGGCTTACTGGATTATACGAATTGAATAATCAGACGATAGAATAGAAATAGAACAGCGGTTTAGCTGTGTCAATAGAATAGGAACCAAACAATTGAAGTCAAAGAAGCAGCATAATGAAAAGAACAATAATAGTCAAAGAACCAATCAAACCATTTATTTAAACTCAAACAAATAATAAGCCACTTATATCATGAATCATTATAAATAAAGAGAACACATTCTATTCTCATATGTCATCACCACAGACATGTTTCAAATTAATTTAAACATCATAATCGAATAATTGCAAACTAATGAAACTAAATTAAATTTTATGCAAATCATTTATTGACTTGACTTTTTCTACTGAGTATAAGCACATATTTAAATTTTGGTTGTATGGATTCAATTTGGATGGTTGAAGTGGAGGAATGCATTGGGCCTGATGTGTGATAGGAAAGTACCCCTCAAACTCAAGGTAACATTCTATAAGATGGTGGTGAGACCTACAAAGCTTTATGTTGCAGAATGTTGGCCATTAAAAGAGAAACATAAAATTAAGTTAAGTGTTGCAGGGATAAGAATGCTCAGGTGGATGCGTGGCTTCACTCTTAGAGACAATGCGAACTGAATATGTACTTGAAAATGTTGGAGTAGCTCTAGTGGCAGGTAAGCTTGAAGTGAGTCACCTTAGATGGTTTGAACACATAAAACATCGGCCTTCCGATGACCCAGTTAGGAGAGTAGATTATTAGATTTGTTCTATGTTAAAAGAGATAGTGGTAGGCCTAAAAAGGCTTGGCTAGAAAATATTAGAAATAATTTTTTTTACTAGATTTAAATAAAAATTTGACTCTTAACAAAACAATGGAGAAAAAGAATTCATGCAGCCGATGTCACGTAGTGACATAAAGGTTTGTTGTTGTTCACAAATTTGGGGTCGATGAATTTAACATTTGGTATTTAATCAAGCAACTCAGGACATGTTTTGTGCTTGTTGTAAAGTAATATGTGTGGCATCACAAATACGTCTGTCATACCAGTATACTAGATATCTCTAGAATTCAACCACCATCAGTAGTAGAAACAATCTCATATCATAATTCAAAATAGCTACAAAAATATTCTTTGTAGATGTGTCTGCCTGAAAGTTTGATGCAAATATGAGGTGGTAAGAGAAGAGAATCTATTGAATTGGCAGTAATTCATGAAATAATGCCATATTTGACACATTAAAATAGGCTTAGTGCTAGAATTTACAATAATTTTTAGTTTATAGTCATTAGTTATGATGCACTGCAATTTTAGGGATGTTTCTTTTTTCGCATTTAATTTCTTAAGGGTTCCCAAGGAAAGTCTTCTTGATTTAAATGCATCATTCCGATGGTAAACTAAAAATTAGAGAGAGTCGCCTTAGATGGTTTGTTCACATAAAACGACGGCCTTCTGATGACCCGGTTAGGAAAGTAGAGGTATTAGATTTGACTTATGTTAAGAAAGGTAGAGGCAGAGCTAAAAAGACTTGGTTAGAAAATATTAGAAATGATCTTTCTCTATTAGATTTAAACGAGAATTTGACTTTTAATAGGACATAATGGAGAAAAAGGATTCATGTAGCCGACCCCACGTAGTGGGATAAAGGCTTGTGTCGTTGTTGTTGTTGTTGTTTTTGTCGTCCTTATACCAGTTATGTACTACTAATGACCTATAATTCATTCCTAGAAAGTAAGATGATTTATGCACTTTCAAAATTGATAAGATAAAATGTGTCTTAAATTTTAGATTTGTTTGAATGCATTTTGATGTAGAACGGGAAGGAGGTTTTCAGTCTTATGGGTCTTGAAGAGCAACTTGTGAAGTTTAATCATCAGCTTTTGACACTTGGGAAATTCTGGACAGCAAGTAGCCAACCTGGGATAGCAATTCCGGACAGTTTCGGGCAGCCACGATCGTTCCCAGAAGGGCTGGACAGCAACAGGAGGGTTCTGGCAGCAAAGTTTCTGGTTGTAAAATTTTTGGCCAGCAAACTTAGGGTACAGGAAACACCAAACCGGGAGAAGAATAGGAGGAATTGGGAGAAGATAATCCAAGCAAAGCTACTGGGTAGGAGGCGGTCAGGTAAGGCTAGGATTTGGGGATTATTTCCACTTTGCGGGGCTGATTATGTGGCCAAATTAATGAGGTTTGAATTGTTTCCTAAGTGGAGATTTTGGGATTTAGGAAACAATTTCCTAAGACCACCCTAGAGGAGCCGGTGACAATCAAGCATGGGGAGGATTGATGAGGTGGATTGATAGCTTCTTAATATGGGATTTGGGAATAGGAAAGGTTTTAATTCAATCCTTTTGAATTTCAAATTCAAATTGAACTTAATTCAAGAACTTTCCTAAAATAGGTTTCATTAAATTAGGAAAGAAAAGGGATATTGAGCAAGCTGTTGCAAATGAATTTCCAACTTGGTTCAGATCATATGTGAGCACATCAATTTTAAAAATTTAAATCTTATTTATTATAAAAATACTAATATTTAAAAATATTTCTATGTATAAAATTCTGATAACAAATATTTCGATAAAAGTTTGCAAGCACTAGCATGGGATCCAATGCGAAAAGTAAAACTTGGATAATATATATAGTGAATGGATTCAGATTTCATATCAAGTCGTGGAGTGAAGGAAGAAAAACTAAAAATTATGGATAATGTGTTAGATGGAACACTCATAAAGAAGATAAATGTGATTATTACGGTATTCTGAATGAGGTTCTTGACTTGAAATACCCAAGCAAAGATGAGAATTTTGTATGCTTGTTTAACTGTCAATGGTATGATCCAGTACATAATAGAGGCACAATGGTTCATCCTGCGTATGGTTTAGTAGATATAAAACATAGTAGAAGATACGAAAAATTTGATCTATTTGTGTTAGCAAGTCAATCTATTCAAGTTTATTTCAGCAAATATTCAGTGGTCGTAGAGACAAACAAGATTGGCTAGCTGTCATAAAAACAAAAGCATGGAAAATAATTGATCAACAATACATTATAGCAACTGCACATCAAGAGGATGATATGTCAAGTTGTAGGCATGTTGAAATTGAGTAGATACCAACTACAACCTCTAGTATTGAAATGGATTTAGAAGATGTGAATAGTTCAACTAGTTCAGGCGAAGATGAGAACGATGATGAAAGTGAAGATACCCTTGAGAGAATGAAAATAGTTTTGATGATTCTGAGTAGCTTTTGTAATTCAGAATTGTAGAATTTTACTGTTTTGTAATATTTTGAATAGTAATTTTTGAATTCTAAAAAATAAAACTATTAATTTCTAACTTGTATTATTAACTACTTTTTGTAATTCATTGACTACTTTATTAATTGCTTTTTTTATTTGTATTATGTTATTTAGAATTGTATAATTGTACTTTTTTATTAATTGCTTTTTTTATTTGTAGTTTTTATATATTACAATGTTTTACTAATTGTTTCTTTTAATGCAGATGACTTCAGGCGACTATCCTCCTCGTAAATCATTTGCCTCGATTTCGCCGGAAGATATTTACTGTTACTCTCAGCAGAGCCACAGAGCCTGATGAAGGTGAGGGACCTTCAGTTCCACCAGTTCTACCTACACCACCACCACCACCTAGGGGCCAGCAGTAGTCCCCGAGTGAGCAGGGTCAGGGTCAGTCAGATCCACCTGCTGTTGTACCTCCATACTTCCCTGGCCACTTCCTTCCTCCCTCGACGAATCCTCACTACCCCTCTCCAGATTAGACACATGTCGTTCCATTCTATCCATATTACCCCCTACCATCATCACAGGCAGCAGGTCCATCCATTAGTCCTCGCCCTCCTTACCCCCACTCATATTACTACCCCTATCCGGGGCAGCATGAAAACGGTGGACCATCTAGACCACCAGAGGCTGGCG